CCGCCACCCCGCCGTCCTCGTCAGCCGATGAGCTGGCGTCGGCGCTGGCCCTTGAGCCGCGCGAGTTTGTGCGGCGCTACCGCTGCGAGCGGCCGCCGCGCGACGAGCCGCTGGTGGTGCACTCGCGCACCGCGGGGCGCGCGTTCTGGGCGGCCCAGGTGGCGCATGACGCGGGGTATGGCAGGTGAGGGCGAGGGGCGGCGCACATGTTTACAGTTGTGTGTTTGTGTGCGTTTATGTGCTTGAGCTTGTGTGTGGTTGTGTGTGTGGTCGTGTAGGTGTGGGTGTGGGTGTAGGGTGTAGGGTGTGAGGCTGGTAAGAAGGGTCTTACCCTCCGTCATGCGGCCTGCGGGCTTTCCGCAGCATATGCGACGCAGCGCCGGCCAGGGCCGCCCGCTGCGCCCGGAAACGCCGGGCTGCACAGGGCGCATCCATCGCCACCGCCATGCACCCCCCCGCGCCGTCATGGGCCCCTTCCTTTTCCGCGCCGACCATCATGCAGGCTGCTTGTGCTGCGGGGCGGCGCCTACTCGTGGCGCGCGGACGGGGTCAAGCCCTACGCCTCGTACCAGCCGGTGGGCATGCAGACCGCGTCGGGCACGGGCCGCCCAGACGGCGGTGTCTTCTGAACCTGCCACCGCGCGGGGTGGCTGGCAGCCCGCGCGCTGCCATCCGCAGCCCGTTTTGGGCCCGGTGGAGGATCCAATCTGCTGCTTTCCGCAGCCTCATAAACGCCTGCTGTCGAAGTCTGGAACCCCCTCTTATTCGACTGTGCGGAAGTGCCCCTCTCGACCGCCCGGTTGTTAACCTCAAACTCCGCCTCGCAGTGGGAGCCGCCCCCGGAGCCGGAGGCGGCCCCAGCAGAGCCGCACGACGCGGCCGCGGCGCTGGAGGAGCTGCTGACCCTGGGCCTGGCGACGCGGGCGGGCGGCGGCGGCGGCGGCGGCTCGGCCGCTGCGTGACTGACGGGAGCTGTGCAGTGCGGCTGTTGAGTCTTGGTGGCCTTGCCTGCATTTGCACGTTAGGTCAGCCGGGTCCCAAGCTGCTGGCGCTCGCGTAGGATTCCGTGCCAGCAAACACGCATTTCATGAACGATCAATTTTTACTAAATTTATGGTGTTATGTTGACAACAGAGAGGTTGGGTCGGCGCTTGTAGAGGGAACAAAGAAAGCTAGGCGTTGGGGCTAAGACTGAGAGGAAAGACATCACAGACGGCAGTGTTTGACCAGTCAACCGCTGCGACCATGCGCGCGCCAAGTACACTATGCATAGAATTGGTCGGCAACAATGAAGGAAGGATTCCAGCGCCTCCCCGGGTTTGCGAGCAGGGGTGGCCCAGCCGGAGGGATTCCCAAAACACAAGAGGGAGCAGATTCTCGTCAGGCCCGTTTGCGCACCCCAGCAAAGTAATTGTTTGTGGTGCTCTTCGGCAGCGGCGCCTTGGGGTCGCACTTCTCCCCCGGCCGCAGCTCGTAGTCGTTGCCCCACCGCCCCGACATGTAAGACCCCAGCCGCCCGAACCCGCTGTCCACGGTAACCACGTGGTAGTCCACCAGTGCAAACGTGATCATGCTGCCCAGGGAGTGCTGGAACGACGCGTCCATCGACGACTGCCCGCACGCGCCCGGGTTTTGGCCCTTGCAGTCCGGGTGCACCATCTTCAGGGCCGTGTCCGTCAGCACCTTGTCCCCATACTTCTCTTTGGCCGCGATGCGCAGCACGACAGAGTCCGAGTTGATGAACCAAATGACCCTCTGGCCCGGCAGCTTGTGCAGGTCCTCCACGCCCTGCGCGCACTCAAAGTAGCTCGCGCCGCGCGCGAGGGCGGCAGCCTTTGCGGCGTCCGACACGGCCTCCCCGCGGAACACGCCGTCGCCGGTGCGGATCTGCAGCCCGATCTTGAGGGCGGCGCGGTCCGACAGCGGCTCCCAGAACTGCTGGTAGTAGGCCTGCACCGCCGCGTTGGGCCAGCACAGCCAGAAGAAGCCGCACATGAACGCGTCGTCCGGCGGCACGCCGCGCTCCGCAAACGTCGCCTTGTGGTAGGGGTTGTTGGCGATGGCGTAGGAGCGGCCGCGGTTGGAGGAGGAGATGACATAAGGCGTCTCGGGCCGCTTCTCCGGCAGCCTGGACAGGTTTGTGGTTTCCATCCACTTGAGGTCGCCCGCGTTGATCATGTACAGAGGGTGGTACTCGCTGCCGTTGACGGTTGGAGGATACGACCTGTCGCCCCCGTAGCCGCGGACGCCCCTGTAGGTGTACTTCAGCGGATCCACCGCGTCCGGCGGCAGCCCCGGCGGCGGCTGCAGCCAGTCGAAGTGCGGCGCGTCGCACGCGGCGCCGAAGCCGGGCAGGTCGCCGTAGGTGAGCGCGGCGATCGCGCGGCGGCTGAGGACGGCGAGCCAGAGCTGCGTGACCATGCCTGTCAGGCGGTCGGCGAGGCCGGCCTCGACCGCGACCGACACGAGCCAGCGGGGCGGGGCGCGGCCGGCCGCGATGTCGGCGTGGAGCCGGGAGTACTCGTGTAGCCAGTCGTTGCGGCAGCGGCGGATCTGGGGGAAATATCTGTTGAGATGGTATGAGGCGGGGAGGGGGGAGGGGGCTCAAGACGTGTGGTAGCACGCGGAGGACCTGGGGTGCAGTTCGGGGCCGCGTAAGTGGGTTGCAGTGGTGGCTGTCGGGGGATTCTGGTGCTTTAGAGCATGCGTGGGGGAGGGTTGTAACGGGCTTGCGACCCTGGCTGGCTGACAACGCAAGAAATGTTGCATGCTGGATTTTTGTATACCAAGTGTATTAAATGAGCCCTGTGTATGATTACTATGTTTTATGTGCACTGTGGGGTAGGGACGCGGCGCGGTCACCACGTTTTGCCTGCGGCTCGTGGGTTCCGCTTGCGGCGCGAGCCTTGGCAGCGGTAGGCACCGTGTTAACAGCGATTGACCAGGTCTGACTGCTGCGCACTAGCTGTGCGCTTCTCAAGTCCATCCTTCCGCGGACCAGTTGATACTTTGCCCCATCTGCCTCACGCCGATACCCTCTTGCCCCCTCTTGCCCCCAACACCCTTCGCCTTGTCGACATACGCTTCGGGCCAGCTGCAACAGGTCCGACATCAGCTGCCCGCACGCGCACACCGCACCTGGTCATGTTGTCATATCGCGCAGCAGCACTGCTGTTCAACGTCCCTCCGCTGCCGTCGAAGGTTCCGCTGCTGCCGCTGAGTTTCCCGCCGCTGCTCGCGCCGCCGGGCACCGGCGCGGCGTCGCTGCTTTTCGCTGCCGCAAACGTGCCGACCCTGTGCAGGAGGGTCCTATTCCCGTAGATATCTATTCCTGGTGATCTATGCGGCAGAAACTCGAAAAGGGCGTCCAGGCACCACACCAGGAAGACGGTGGTCAGGCTCGTCAGCACAACAAGCCACACACGCCCGGGCTGGCCCGTGGTTTTAGCCGCAACAGCGGGCATATCGGTTTTTGTTGTACGGTGTGCTATGCCCAGTTGCCCGCTACTCGGTCACGTAGATCAGCTAGGCCTGGCGCGCTAGTACGGTACATAGGCTCGACATTCATAAAATAGTAGACATGACTACTAGTACGCTCGAGGCATGCCCAGCCACAACTCCCAACCGTCGAACACCACTGGTACCGCCCCTCCTGGCGCTCCTGCTGGCCCTGCTGCTGCTCCCCGGCCCCCCCGGCGCCGCGGCCTCGGCCAAGCACACGCGCCGCAAGCTCGCACTCCGCGAGGGTCCGACATCCCGCACCATTGAGGAGCGCGGGCTGCTGGACCCGGGCGTGAGCGCAGCTGACCTGGCAGAGGGAGCGCGCGAGTACTCGGCAGCTGCCGCCCGCCGGCGGTTCGGCGGCCATGTGCTCGGATACGTGACCCCCTGGTGCGAGCGCGTGCGCCGTGTCACCCCTGTACACCCCACACACTCCACGTAACCCCCCCTACGCCCATGCTCTCATGCGCGTGCTCGGCATCCCGTGACGCCGCCGAAGCAGCCGCCGCGCCGCTAGCGCGTCGGCCGCGCCCCCGCTTGCGGCGAGTCCGCCTGCAGCCGCGTACTCCGGCTGCCCCCGCACTCCACCCCGCGCACCCCGCAGGAATCGTGGCGGTTACGAGGCCGCGGTGCGTTTCAGGGGGAAGCTGACTCACGTCAGCCCGGTGTGGTACCAGGTGCGAAGTGACGCGCGAAAAAAAAACCCTCAGCATACTAGCTGCGCCGTGACGAGTGCGCTGGGTCGCACGATCAAGCGGGTTGAGTGGACGTCAGAGCAGAGCAGAGGCCGCTGGCGGGATCAGCTCGGGCAGGCGGGTGAGACGGTCACCGCGGCCGCGGGGCAGGCGCTGGCCAGCCGGTGCATTTTGGTCAAGGGGGGCGGTCCGGTGCGGGTGCGGCAGGGCGAGGACGGCCGGGGGCCGTTCGGATTGCTGCGCTGCAAGGCTGCTGCTACTCATGGTGGCGATCATACAGGGATGCAGGACTGACTGGGTCGGCTCCCCGCTGCCCCTACCCCCCTCCCACCACCCCCTCGTCACAGCTGGCGACTAATTCTGACGGCCAGCTGGCGCTGGTGGGGGGCCACGAGTTCAACGCCACCTGGATCCAGGAGCTGAGGCGGCCGCAGCAGCAAGGCCCGAGCGGCGGCGCCAGCAGCGGCGAGGGCGAGGGCGCTGCTCTTTCGGGGGCGGCGGAGGGCGCGTGTGGCGAGGGCGGCGGCGAGGGCGCGGTGTGCGGCGCGCCGCCGGGGGACGGAGTGTCGGTGAGCGCCTCTCAGGTTGAAGGAGAGCAGGGCCGCTGTGGGTGTGTGCGTGCAGGGCGCCTCTGGGCACTGGGGCCATGCGCGATCTTTCGGGCGTATGTCTGCGGTCAGACACCACAGCAGCAGGGGCGGCCCGCTGTTTGTGATGGTTTCTACCATGCCACGGGGCGCAGGGCTGCAGCCGCAGCAGCTCTAGCCGTCCTCAGACGCCTCACTCCCCACCGTCGCAGGCAGCCCGCGCATCATCCAACCCACCATCCACCCGCTCTTTCTTTGCCCTTCAATTCTTAGTGCACTGCCAACTCACCCACCCACCAGCATCCCCATGCCTGACCACCCCGATTCAGAATACCAACCCTCTTGCCTACTGCAAGCTGCCCGGCGCTTCCCCATGCTGCGCAGCGTCTGCGTTCTCAACTTGATCTTCCCGCCGCCTCCTCGACTCCCGCAGCATCTCCCGCCCCTCATTGTGCCGCGAGTCATCGTGGAGCTGGCGGGGCGGGACGTGGGGCTCCTGCTGGGGCGCCCCGGCCCCGCGATCGAGCGGCTGGTGGAGGTGGGGGCGGCGGCGCAGCTGAAATGCAGGCGGCGCGCGCTTCAGGCGGGGCCGGCGGCCCGCGCCGCGCGCCGATGCGGAGTCGTCAAGCTGCTTGCAAAAATGATGTTCTGATGCCAGCAAACTGAATTTTCCCTTGGTCAGCAACACACCTCCCTGGCCCCCTCACCCCTCCTTGCACCATTGACGCCACATGTGCAACACAGCTCAACGATGCACCTCCCTCGACATCCAATCAATGCTCCAGCCCGCCCCTCTGATCGGCCCCGTCGTTTTTCATCCTCAACCCATGAT